CCGGGAGGTAAAAGAAGATTAAGGTCCTGGTTGACTTTACGTCATAGAACCTCGATGGCTTTTTTGGTAGGTACTTTTGTGAAGAGGGAAGTCACATCCAAACTGCTTAGTTTCATCTTAAACACTCAGGCGACCTTCTCAACCGCATCCGTAACCTCTCCATCCGTAACAAGAAACTAAGCAGTTTGGATGTGACTTCCCTCTTCACATAGTCTCTCCTGTTATACTACACAAGCACATTACAGAGAGTGAACAACGAAAAAAACCTGCCTCTTTCCAGTCTATATTTGTCCAACCTATTTTTATGTTACCCAAGTAATAGCTTTTATATCCTTTTACTCATGTACGAATTATTTGCTCTTCCATATTGTATTATTTTTGTTACTACCACTACTACTACTACTACTACTACCACTACTACTACTACTACTACTACTACCACCACTAGTGAACATCGAAATGGTACCTCACTAGTATTGCACCTCACTCAGAGCCTTTATATACCCTCTGTGTCCATGTATTGTTTGTAATGGCTTGATAAAGCTCCTGGAGAGCGAAACGTTGCCACAATAAATGTCACATTAGTTGCACTTGTGTCCTTTTACTTTACATTATTATTATTATTATTATTATTATTATTATTATTATTATTATTATTTCTATTATTATTATTGTTATTATTATTATTATTATTATTATTATTAATATTATTATTGCGTAGCAGTAGTATATATAGCACAATGTGGAAGATGGGATGTATAAGCTTGGCCTCAGGCGAGTGAATACGTGACTTTGAGATTTGATTTCTTTAGATTTTGAAAACTGGATGAGTGAGTGTTTTAAGTGAGTAAATCAGTGAGTTAGCAAATGAGTGAGTAGCAGAGAGCACTTAAACACCTAACAAATTCTCTCTCTTTCTCCACTTTTCCCCCAATATATCTGCTTGGTTGGTGAGGTGTGCTGTGCGTGGTGGTGTGTGGTGGTACACAGCACTAACAAGCATGCACACGGTGTGGCTGAGGGAACACAATCGTCTGGTGGGACTCCTGGCAGAGATCAACCCTCACTGGAGTGATGACAGACTCTTCTTCCAGGCTCGTAAGATTGTTGGAGCCCAGATGCAGAAGATAACTTATGGCGAGTGGTTGCCTGTAGTGCTAGGTGAGTGTTGACGTCTAGGTGACTGCTAGGTGACTGTTGACGTCTAGGTGACTGTTGGGATCTAGGTGCCTGCTAGGTGAGTGTTGACATCTAGGTGACTGATAGGTGACTGTTGGGATCTAGGTGCCTGCTAGGTGACTGTTGGGATCTAGGTGCCTGCTAGGTGAGTGTTGACATCTAGGTGACTGATAGGTAAGTGTTGACATCTAGGTGACTGCTAGGTAAGTGTTGACATCTAGGTGACTGCTAGGTGACTGTTGGGATCTAGGTGACTGCTAGATGAGTGTTGACATCTAGGTGACTGCTAGGTAAGTGTTGACATCTAGGTGACTGCTAGGTAAGTGTTGACATCTAGGTGACTGATAGGTAAGTGTTGACATCTAGGTGACTGCTAGGTAAGTGTTGACGTCTAGGTGGCTGCTAGGTGACTGTTGGGATCTAGGTGACTGCTAGGTGAGTGTTGACATCTAGGTGACTGATAGGTAAGTGTTGACATCTAGGTGACTGCTAGGTAAGTGTTGATATCTAGGTGACTGCTAGGTGACTGTTGGGATCTAGGTGACTGCTAGGTGAGTGTTGACATTTAGGTGACTGTTGACATCTAGGTGACTGTTGACATCTGGGTGACTGTTGGGATCTAGGTGCCTGCTAGGTAAGTGTTGACATCTAGGTGACTGCTAAGTGACTGTTGACATCTAGGTGACTGTTGGGATCTAGATGCCTGCTAGGGAAGTGTTGACGTCTAGGTGACTGCTAGGTGACTTGACATCTAGGTGAGTAAGGTGCCCGTATTTAGGTGCTTCTAGAGCTTGGATATAAAGTGGTCTAGATTATATTTGTTTTGATTACAAACATACGATATACTTGGGTAATTTTATTGTGAAATCAGTCCCTCAGCCTGGACTAAGGGAATGATTACCTCAAACTCCTCCTGATCGTCACCATTCTTTTTTGGATGGACAGATGAAGTCACTGTGTGGCGAAGAGTTTCCACAGATACCCAAGTGTTGGACATGTGTCTAATTTATCATCTTATCGGTTCTCCGAACCATTTATTTACATATTTGTATCGGTTTACTGGGATATTCCCTTGAGAAGTGATCTGTTACCACAGACACAGGTTTCTGTAACATTGCTGCTGCTGGTGCACTGACAGGTCCTGCTGTGATGAAGGTGTTCCGTCTGCCCCTCCAGAGGTATGGCTACTACCGAGGCTACAGACCCTCCACCAACCCTACAGCTACCAATGCCTTCGCCACGGCCGCCTTCAGGTTTGGTCACAGCCTCGTACAACACACACTGATGCGTTGTGACAAGACTGGTCGACGTGTTCCCTTCAGTAAGTATTGAGGCACTACCCAGGTGCTCCTGCATCTTCAGGTGTACACACACTGGTGCTCCTGCATCTTCAGGTGTACACACACTTGTGCTCCTGGATCTTCAGGTGTACACACACTGGTGCTCCTGCATCTTCAGGAAGTCAATATATCCGACATGTCTTACCTGTTTGTATTCCATACTGTCTTTCCCACTCCTATTCCTCTTTTTCTCCTCCTCCTCCTCCTCCTCCTCCCCCTCCTCCCCTCCTCCTCCTCCTCGAGCGCCACTAACGAGCACCTTCACTGTAGTGGCTTACATTGGGCCACTTTGAGCCCCACCACAACTTCCTGCCATTTAATCTACTCTTCAAGCTCCCTTTTAAACGACGTGTGTGTGTGTGTGTGTGTGTGTGTGTGTGTGTGTGTGTGTGTGTGTGTGTGTGTGTGTGTGTGTGTGTGTGTGTGTGTGTGTGTGTGTGTGTGTACTCACCTAGTTGTACTCACCTAGTTGATGTTGCAGGGGTCGAGTCCAAGCTCCTGGCCCCTCCTCTTCGCTGGTCGCTACTAAGTCACTCTCCCTGAACCTTGAGCTTTATCATACCTCTGCTTAAAGCTATGTATGGATCCTGCCTCCACTACATCGCTTCCCAAACTATTCCACTTACTGACTACTCTGTGGCTGAAGAAATACTTCCTAACATCCCTGTGATTCATCTGTGTCTTCAGCTTCCAACTGTGTCCCCTTGTTACTGTGTCCCATCTCTGGAACATCCTGTCTTTGTTCACCTTGTCAATTCCTCTCAGTATTTTCTATGTCGTTATCATGTCCCCCCTATCTCTCCTGGCCTCCAGTGTCGTGTGTGTGTGTGTTTGTGTGTGTGTGTGTATTCTCACCTATATGTGTGGTTGCGGGGGTCAATTCACAGCTCCTGGCCCCGCCTCTTCACTGGTCGCTACTGGGTCACTCTTCCTGCTCCATGAGCTTTATCATACCTCTTCTTAAAGCTATGTATGGATTCTGCCTCTACTATATCACTCTCCGGATTGATAAATTAGACACATGTGCAACTCTTGGGTATCTTTATTGAGGAAACGTTTCGCCACACAGTGGCTTCATCAGTCCATACGTAGGAGAAACTTGAAGAACAGGAGGAGAATGAGGTAATAATAATTTATCAACATGTGGGTTCTCTGAACCATTCATCTACAAACCTGTCAGACACTGCAACTTCTTGGGATCTTAATACTTGGGAATTCTTCGCTTGCCTAATTCTTGGGCACGACCTACTTCCACATTGAACAAATGTGACACCACCTATGACTGCTACACCTCTCCTGCCATACGGTTTATAAGCTGCTTCTCCGCTCATATGCCGTATTCTATTCAAGATTGATGGACTGAACACATCGACTCAAGGTTGAGGGACTGATTACCTCATTCTCCTCCTGTTCTTCAAGTTTCTCCTACGTATGGACTGATGAAGCCACTGTGTGGCGAAACGTTTCCTCAATAAAGATACCCAAGAGTTGCACATGTGTCTAATTTATCAACATGTCGGTTCTCTGAACAATTCATCTACAAAACTCTCCGGATTGTTCCACTGCCTGACAGTTGAATAAATACTTCCTAATATCCCTATGACTCATCTGATTTATAAACGTCCAGTTGAACCCTCTTGTTCCTATTCTCCGTCTCTGATATCTTCTGTCCCAATTCACCTTGTCAATTATTGTATTTTGTATGTTCGTACCATATATCCCCTAGTCCTCCTGTCCTCCAGTGTCGTCAGCTTGAGTTCTCCTCATATGACATACCCCTTTAACTCTGGGACTAGTCTTGTTGCAAACCTCTGCACTTTCTCTAATTCCTTGATATAATTTACCAGGTTTGAGTTACATACTGGTGCTGCGTACTCCATGTGAGTACACCTGTGAGTGTATACCCGAATGTTTGTGTGCTGTGTTGTGTTTATACCAGAGGCAGCAGGGTGAACACTCTGGCTGGCCTGTGTGTATACCTTCGTGTGTTGTCTTGTGTTAACAAGGTGACATGTCTAGTTACCAACATTATACACATGTTAACAAGGTGACATGCCTAGTTACCAACATTATACGCTTTTTAACAAGGTGACATGTCTAGTTACCAACATTATACACATGTTAACAAGGTGACATGCCTAGTTACCAACATTATACACTTGTTAACAAGGTGACATGTCTAGTTACCAACATTATACACTTGTTAACAAGGTGACATGTCTAGTTACCAACATTATACACTTTTTAACAAGGTGACATGTCTAGTTACCAACATTATACACTTGTTAACAAGGTGACATGTCTAGTTACCAACATTATACACTTTTTAACAAGGTGACATGTCTAGTTACCAACATTATACATTTGGTGACCACCACTCACGTCTGTGTGACCACCACTCACGTCTCCTTGTGTGACCATCACATGCTGGAGAAGTTTGACATCATTCTCTCCTGACAACAATGTTATTCCATGAAGTCAATACTGGTTGTGATTGGCTACAAAGAGTCTGTCTTCTTTTAAATTCTTTCACGTATCTACGTTTGTTACTGTCCTAGTATCCTATAACAAGTTTGTTAAGTGCTAGCATGATCCTGGGTGCTAGCATGATCCTGGATGCTAGCATGATCCTGGATGCTAGCATGATCCTGGGTGCTAGCATGATCTTGGGTGCTAGCATGATCCTGGGTGCTAGCATGATTCTGGGTGCTAGCATGATCCTGGGTGCTAGCATGATCCTGGGTGCTAGCATGATCCTGGGTGTTAGCATGATCCTGGGTGCTAGCATGATCCTGGGTGCTAGCATGATCCTGAGTGCTAGCATGATTCTGGGTGTTAGCATGATCCTGGGTGCTAGCATGATCCTGGGTGCTAGCATGATCCTGGGTGCTAGCATGATCCTGAGTGCTAGCATGATTCTGGGTGTTAGCATGATCCTGGGTGCTAGCATGATCCTGGGTGCTAGCATGATTCTGGGTGTTAGCATGATCCTGGGTGCTAGCATGATCCTGGGTGCTAGCATTATCCTGGGTGCTAGCATGATTCTGGGCATGCCCATATCTTCCTAACTAGGGTATCCTCTGGCCTTCCTAACCTGGGTATCCCTTAGCTTTCCTAGGATGGATATTCCAGAGATTCCCACTCCTTCCCTCTCTCCCACATCATCCCTCTCATCCTCGCCTCTTACCATCCCACTCCCTCTGGTTTAATCCCACTTGACTCTCCTTCCCCTCTCCCTTAACGCCCTCCTCCCCCTACCCACTCATAACTCCCCTACTCCTCCACCCTCCCTTAACTCCCATACTCCCCCTACCCTCCCTTTACCCCTCATTTGGTGGGAATTCAGCCATCCGGTTTTGCCAGATATCTCCTTTTGTTGCTGCCCCCTTTCTTTATTGCTCCCCCTTTATTGCTCCCTTTGTTGCTGCCCCTTCTTTATTGCTCCCTTTGTGGCTGCCCCGCTTTATTGCTCCCTTTGTTGCTGCCCCCCTTTATTGCTCCCTTTGTTGCTGCCCCCTTTATTGCTCCCTTTGTTGCTGCCCCCCTTTATTGCTCCCTTTGTTGCTGCCCCCCTTTATTGCTCCCTTTGTTGCTGCCCCCCTTTATTGCTCCCTTTGTGGCTGCCCCGCTTTATTGCTCCCTTTGTTGCTGCCCCCCTTTATTGCTCCCTTTGTTGCTGCCCCTTGTACTGCTCCCTTTGTTGTTGCCCCCTTCTTTATTGCTCCCTTTGTGGCTGCCCCTTTATTGCTCCCTTTGTTGCTGCCCCCTTTATTGCTCCCTTCGTTGCTGCCACCCTTTATTGTTCCTTTGTTGCTGCCCCCTTTATTGCTCCCTTTGTTGCTGCCCCCTTTATTGCTCCCTTTGTTGCTGCCCTCTTTATTGCTCCCTTTGTTGCTGCCCCCCTTTATTGTCCCTTTGTTGCTGCCCCCCTTTATTGCTCCCTTTGTTGCTGCCCCCCTTTATTGTCCCTTTGTTGCTGCCCTCTTTATTGCTCCCTTTGTTGCTGCCCTCTTTATTGCTCCCTTTGTTGCTGCCCTCTTTATTGCTCCCTTTGTTGCTGCCCTCTTTATTGCTCCCTTTGTTGCTGCCCTCTTTATTGCTCCCTTTGTTGCTGCCCTCTTTATTGCTCCCTTTGTTGCTGCCCTCTTTATTGCTCCCTTTGTTGCTGCCCTCTTTATTGCTCCCTTTGTTGCTGCCCTCTTTATTGCTCCCTTTGTTGCTGCCCTCTTTATTGCTCCCTTTGTTGCTGCCCTCTTTATTGCTCCCTTTGTTGCTGCCCTCTTTATTGCTCCCTTTGTTGCTGCCCTCTTTATTGCTCCCTTTGTTGCTGCCCTCTTTATTGCTCCCTTTGTTGCTGCCCCCCTTTTTTTTTTTTTTTTTTTACACAGGGTTTGACAAGGTTAAGGATCCCTTTATTGTTGTTTCATTTTTTTGCTTCTTCCTCTCTTTATTACTCTCTTTGTTGTTTTCTCCCACTCTTTATTGTTCTTCTCTTTATTACTCTCCACGTGTACCATTACTGTTCACCGTGTGTACCATTACTGTTCACCGTGTGTACCATTATTGTTCACCGTGTGTACCATTATTGTTCACCGTGTGTACCATTATTGTTCACCGTGTGCACCATTATTGTTCACCGTGTGTACCATTATTGTTCACCGTGTGTACCATTATTGTTCACCGTGTGTACCATTATTGTTCACCGTGTGTACCATTACTGTTCACCGTGTGTACCATTATTGTTCACCGTGTGTACCATTATTGTTCACCGTGTGTACCATTACTGTTCACCGTGTGTACCATTATTGTTCACCGTGTGTACCATTGTTCACCGTGTGTACCATTATTGTTCACCGTGTGTACCATTATTGTTCACCGTGTGTACCATTATTGTTCACCGTGTGTACCATTATTGTTCACCGTGTGTACCATTATTGTTCACCGTGTGTACCATTACTGTTCACCGTGTGTACCATTACTG